CGGTAGCTCAGGAGGGGAGTTACGCGGCTGCTGCAGCCCGCGGGGGAGGGCGTCAAGGAAGAGGGCGTGGTCGAGGAAGAGGTCGCGACCGTGGTGGACGAGGATTCGACACCCAGAGGGGTGGTGGTGAAGGAAGCCACTACGTGGGAGGAAGGGGAAATGGTCCCTCACAAGGTGGCCGTGGTTCTTACTCCACCTGGGGTAGAGGAAGGGGCCCATGGTATAACAAGTGGGATAAACCATACCCACCACATCCAGGCCTACCCGAAGGAGGGCCTTGGAAAGAGTTAGGAATAACAGAAAAAGTCTGGCAGGAAAGAAAGAAAGCGGATCAGTGTCTCAAATGTGGGGACCCCGACCACATTGTCTCCTATTGCCCCAACTATAGGGGGGCAAAAGGGAACAACCAGTAGAGGTGTCAGTTGCCTCTACCGGAGCTTCGAATGTTGAAAAATCAGAATCCTCCCATTCGAAGGCTCCAATGGCAGAATCTGAAGAGGAAGACAGTCCCCATCTAGTACATTGTCTAGAGGTGGCAAACGTATGCATCTCTCTAGATGGATCCCTCGCTGGCGTGGGTGATGAGTTGGTCGCTCGTCGCCAAGCCTGGACTGAAATGCGAAAGAAGAAAGGACAGCTAATAATTGCAGATCTTGAGATAAATCGAGTCAGAGTAGGAGGTATGATAGACAGTGGTTCTACACGCAGTTACATTAGTAAGAAAGGTTTGCAGAAACTGCGTCTTGGGCTTAAGGTTAAGAAATTGAATGAGCCCATTGTAAGTAAGTTCGCTAATAGTAGCGAAACCGTCATGGATCGATATGTTGAGGGGGTACAAGTATACTTCCGGCTAGAGGCCGAGGGGAAGGTGGAACGTGTTCTCCACTCTCTGACCTTCTTGGTGGAGGATAACTTGCCCTTTGATGTGTTGTTAGGAATAGATTGGGGCGAGGCTGCGCATGCGGATCTGAAGTTGAGGGAACATGAATGTTGGCTTCCAAGTCTGCAAGTAGGTAAGAAGAAAATCCGCCTCTATCATGAGTCTGGAAAGGAAAGCAGCCTAGCTCACTGTTGCATGAGTGCCCCAGCGTTCGCTCGCCATGTTAAGAAATATAACTTATATGACCAAGTTTTTGTTGCATATGTGCGCTAGTAAAGGAAGGAGAAATTAAAGAAGAAGTCAGGTCTCAAGAGATTGAGAGGATCCTGAAAGAATTCGCAGATGTGGCTGAAGCCCCAAGTGGTGTGGTAGAAAGACCAATCCGACACCGCATTGACATCATTCCAGGGAGCGCGCCCCCAAAGGGGCCTATCTATCGTATGTCGCCCCAGGAATTGGATGAATTGCGAAGCGAACTCGATGAATTGCTGAAAAATGGTTGGATAAGACCTAGCTCCTCGCCGTATGGTGCGCCTGTGCTCTTTGTGCTTAAGAAGGATGGCGGCGTTCGCATGTGTATAGATTATAGACGATTAAATGATATAACAATGAAGAATGTTGAACCATTACCGCGAATAGATGATTTGCTGGATCCCGTGCAAGGTAGCAAAATATTTTCCAAGATTGATTTGAAATCCGGTTACCATCAGATTGAGGTTGAGCCGGAAGACCAACATAAGACTGCCTTCAGGACAAGGTATGGGCACTATGAGTTTATAGTTTTGCCCTTTGGTCTCACGAATGCCCCTGCCACTTTCCAAAGAACAATGAATGAACTATTTCGTGAATGGCTCGATAAGTTTGTGGTTATTTATCTAGATGATATTTTGATTTTCAGCAAAGATGAAAAAGAGCATGCTGAGCACCTTCGACTTGTGCTAAATAAGCTGAGAGAATCAAAACTCGAGTTAAACCCAAAGAAGTGCGAATGGGCTAAGCGTCAGGTTCTATACCTAGGACATGTGATTGATGGAGATGGGGTCAAACCGGAAGATGCCAAAATAGCAGCAATCACAGATTGGTCGAGCCCCCGCATAAGCATCAGAATTTGCAGTCCTGTATCAGAAAGACATTGAGAAGGTGAAGGAAAACATACTCGAAGCACAGCATCAGATGATTGAACAGGCAAATAGACACAGACGACCGTCTCAATTTGTTGTGGGAGATTTGGTTTGGGTGAAATCTAAAGAGTTTGCTCTTGAAAAAAACATTTATGAGAAGCTTCTACCCACCTACAGAGGACCTTGGCAAGTTTTACATGTAATTGAAGATGTGGATGGTCCTTCTTATGTCATTGAGATTCCTCCACATCTACGTACGTATCCAGTGTTCCATGCATCCAAACTCTTACCTTGTGTAACGAATTAGTTCTTCCCAAGTCGCCGATCAGCGATACCTCCAAGTATGGATGGGAAGTATGACGTGGATAAAATCGTTGCAGAAAGTACTTACTACACTGAACGTAGGGGCAGACCACAGCGACAGTATAAGGTGAGGTTTGCATACCAGGATCCTAGTGAAGATCGCTGGTTTACAAGAGAAGAACTGTTAGATTCTGCACCTCATATTGTGTCTGCATACGAAAGCGCAAAGAGAGGGATTCATATCCTTGATAGATAAATGATTCTTATAGGACTTCGAAATTAGGCCGGCGAGAGTAAAAGGGCCTTTACCCCGATGCAGGCCTCAGGCCTTGTAAAAGTAAAGCAGCATGAAAGGGTATCTCGCCAGGACTCAGAAAACGTGAAAGCAGGTCAAGGGTTAAGTTCTCTATCAACGGGCACATCCAAATCTAAAGCAAAAGGGCATTGTCAATAGACTTACCTGTTCACCAGAAGTTGTGCATGACATGTCTGTTCGGGTAAGGGTGTGTCTGTACGTGTAGACAGTGTACCTATTCGTGCAAAGAAGAGTGTCTGTTTAGGCAGTATGTGTGTCTGTTCGTTTAGAGTTGTGCCTGTCCGAAAGTAAAGCCAACAGGTAAAGTCCCAGTTCTGGTCTAAGTCAAGGGGACAATCCAGATCGAGACTTTCAAGTCCAAATCTAGGCCGAGAGGCCTCAACAGCAGTTGAACCTCATTGGGACTATATTGGGACACATGCAATGCAGGGTCTGGGACAAAGGAAAGGCTGAACTGAGCCAATGCAGACCCAGCGAGGAGTGGCCAGCACTATAAAGAAAGCAGCCAGCCTCATTCCTCGCCAGATCTCNAAAGGAAAGGCTGAACTGAGCCAATGCAGACCCAGCGAGGAGTGGCCAGCACTATAAAGAAAGCAGCCAGCCTCATTCCTCGCCAGATCTCCACTGGCTTCAATGCGTGGAAGTGCTGTTGCACTTGTGCGCTAGTCAGTAGGAAGCTGCGCTGAAGAAGAAGATGCGCGAGATACAGATTGTGCGCTGGAAGGGATGCAGCCATAGCTGCCCAGCGAATTAGTAGTAGAGTACAGGGTTAGTGATAGTCAGCTATGAGTAATATTCAGAGTAGATCCTCATGAGAGAAGAGTGTGTATGCATCATAGGAGGAAGAGACTGAGGCAGAGAGTGTTCATTCAAGGTTTGGCTATGGCTATGGAAGATACTTACCTGAGTTGGATGTGAAATGCAGAGGCGGCGCTGATGAGTAGTGACCACATTGATGACTTGGAGACAATCTGCAGGAGTAGCGTTGATGCATGGGATGCCATATTGATGAGTTGACAAGAGATTTGTGTTGCGCTAATGAGCGTTGGACTCAGGGGAACTTTGAAACACTTTGTAATCATATTTCTGATAATATAAGCTGTGAAATTCAATCTTCTTCTCATCTACCTTTGTCTATGACTTGAGACTATTGATCATCGTGTGTGAGGATGATGCATGACACGTACGCACTTGCGTGAGATGGTCCCCAGGACCCATGCAAAAATTGAGAGGTTGTTCTTGTTCTGGTCTGCACCGTTATAGTATGCAACAGTTTGGTATCAGAGCGGACCTCTCATTCAGAGGACCCGCTCAATCAAGTAGCCAGCTTGCTTGATCTATTGATTACTCATTAGTAAATCAAGTAGGACTCCGTCAAATCTCTGAATTTTTTTTCTCGCAACAAATATCTGAAAATTTCTGATAATCGCATTTCGTTTTACCTGAAAATTTCTGATATAAGTATTTCGTTTTCACGCAACAAATATCTGAAAATTTTTGACAAACGCATCTGTTCTATCTGAAAATTCCTGATAATAGCATTTCGTTTCTCCGATATTTCGCATACATAGCCGAAAATTTCTGATGTTAACATTTCGTTTCTAGGCATATTAGGATAACGATAGAAGTGGTCATATTCTCGGAAACCGGATTTACTCTTTTCTAAAAATCAAATCTTAATTCTATCTCGCAAAATTTGTTTGAAAACCGAAATCTTGCGAAGCCTACCAGCATTTCGTTAGGCATATTAGGAGGTTGCCGTATTCTCAGAAACTGGATTTAGTTTTTTTTTGAAAATCGCATCTCTACTCTATTTCGCAATTTTGTTTTTCAAGCTCGCAAGTTTGTGAAAGCCGGCACTTTGCGGAACCTATCCTAGATCTCGCTCATAGTACTCTTCTGACATGTCTCGCATCCTGTTTTTATTTATTTATTTATTTATTTATCTGTTGATTAGGGCCGGGAAGAAAGTATTGTTGGGTTGGTTCCCTACCTGCGTTTTCCCTCCCACCCACCCCTTTGCGTGCATTTCCGGGTTGGTACAGTGCCACGTCAGCAGTGCCACATCAGCCACAGTGCCACGTCAGCAACAGTGCCATGTCAGCAGTGCCACGTCGGTTGTGCCTCGCCACCATCACAGGCTCAACTCTGGGGATGCCAGGCCAACTGGCCAGCGAGTCCATTGCCGAGTACAAACAACGGTTCCAGACTCAGCTCGTTCTGATCGAGGCTGATGAACAGCGCCAGGTGGCAGCCGAGGCTGTCCGCCTACAGGGTGAAGCGGCGGCAACAGCTGAGAAACAGCGACTTCAAGCCGAAGCTGAAGCAGATACCCAGGCGCGCCGCAAGGAGGCCCAGGATCTGTTATAGCGGCATGAAGCCACTAGCATAGAAAAGCTCAAGTTTTGGCACTTTGAACCATCCGAGGAGCACGACAACGCGACACCGGAAGAGCAGCACAAGGAATTCATGGCCAATCTCGTGACCAGGTTGGTTTACACTTGTAACCACCTGCAGTCCGAGTTGGCGAACCTCCAGCGGGCCGTACGGAAACACAAGGCTCAGAACGAGGATGCAGCACGGGCACTTGATTCCCGTGTACAGGACTTGGAGCAAACTGCACCAAGACCGGAGGCTTGCGAGTCCAGCAGTGCACCCTCTGCCCGCCAACTGGAGGAACGAGTTGACCACGTAGTCGCAATCCTCGGCGACATCAGTACCTTCGCTGCACCAGCCACCATCAGCGATCAGTTGGACACCTTGAAGACCGAGGTTCTGCAACTGCACCAGCTGCCTAACAAGCATGGCAACACCATGCAACACTACAAGATGCCGACATTTCAAATCGAGAAGTTCGATGATTATACGCATCAAGACCCGGTGCTCTGGTGGGAGGGCTTTACAACGCAACTTCGGATTCTGTTCGTCGCCAAGCACACGTACATCGGCGCCCTGTTCCTCAACTCAAAGGGCGGATGCCAGATCTGGTTGAGCCACCTGGCAACCGTCCACGGCGTCGACGTCGCAGATCTGAAAGATAAGATCTCTTGGGAAGAGTTAACACGACTATGGAAGAAGCGGTTCATCGTGGACGACGCTCCGACGCTCGCCATCAACCGCCTCTTCGCTATGACGCAAGGCAACACAGCAACACGCGACTGGCTCACGGAATGGCAAAAGATCGCGGCAACGCCCGATCTAGAATTGCCATTTTCGCATCTGCGCCGAGAGTTCTACAACCGGTCATGTGCCGCCTTGAGCCTTGCACTTGGTGATCGCGAGCAGTATGCAACCTTCGCTGAAATCATCGAGAAGGCAAGGGAGATCATCAAGACTAATAGGGCAGCTGCACATGAGAAATCAGCATGGCAGCCAACCTACGTGGAGACGGTGAAAACTGGTCCGCGGCCGCAGCATGTCGCTGCAGTCCAATCAGACAACATTGTGGAAGACCTGGCAGCCACCCAAGCGTCACGTGAGGGAGATCAGGTGGCTGCTGTCCAGCCGCGAAGCAACAACAAGTCCCGAGGAAACGGGAAGGCAAAAACCGCATCGCTGACCGGAAACGGACAGCCAGCACCATGGGTCAAGTTTCACTTGACCGAGGCAGAATACAAGTGGCGCGACCGCTACGGCTGCTGCTATTGGTGCAACAGCACCAAGCACAGGGCCTCCCAATGCCCTGATCAAGGCAAGGAGGATGTTCGGCCTCGTATCAACTCGGGAAGACGAGATACGCGCGAGGTGAGGCGACTCCACCTCTCCCTCCGCCAGATTCGGCCGCCTTGCTAGCGGCCCGCTACACATCTGGGGAGGATGCGAATGTCGCAAGTCCTCGGTACACTCTACGAGGACTATGCTGTCCACTTGGTCCCACCGTTGGACCAACCACTCCATGTGCAACAATCTACCGCATGCACGGTTTCACCACCATCGGCAACCGATTCGGCAGCTTTGCCGCCATCTATCACGGAGGATTCAACGTCATGGTCAAGACTTGAAGAGCTCGACCCGTTGACGTTTGCGAACTTCCAATGGATGCCCCTTCCTCGGTCCAGTCGATTGCCGAAACCGCATTGCAATGTGCTCATGGCACAATTGCGGGATTACTTGCACACTGCAGTACCAACTCCGTTGACGGACGCCGGGGTAGAGGTTGTCGACCTCACAATTACATTGCGAAGATCGACCGCGAGTTCAGGACACAACGGTACGACGACATCGACGCACCATTGTTGTATGTACGCATTCAGATCGGAGAGGCGACCTGCAGCGCTTTGATCGATTGCGGAGCATCTCGCAACTACGTAAGCCAGGACTTTATGGTACGCGCCGGCCTTGGCCCACGCGTCCGGAGGAAGTCCCAGCCTATGCAAGTCACGTTGGCAGATGGTCACACGCACAAGTCAATCGATCCGTGCATTGATGACGTCGCCGTGTACTTTGCCCCGCATGCAAGCGAGGCGGTGTCCTTCGATATTTTGGACACCAAATTCGACATGATCTTGGGCATGTCATGGCTGTGAAGCGAGGATCACCCGGTGAACTTCTACCGCCGCAC